AGTGCGTGAAGTGAGTCGACGGGTGAGATTGAAATCCACGGCGCGTATGAATAAAGAGAGCGCTCAGCAATCGGTCAAACGTAGGTAAGTCGATATTTTGGGAAGAAGTGCCATGTTGCATTTCCTTAACTTGGCTTATCTCTTGCTATAGGCCTCACAGACAAGAAGGCGTCCATGCGGTGCACACAACATACGCGCGCGCGCACACACACACAACACACACACACACCACACAGCGCACACGCGCAACACACACGCACACACACACGCAACTACACCACACATCACACACACACACCACACACACACACACACCACCACACCATACACTGACGCGCGGCCGCGCGCGGAGGAGAGGAGAGAGAGAGAGAGGAGGAGAGAGAGGAGAGAGAGACGGGAGAAATGCGAAGGAGAGGAGGTGAGAGAGAGAGAACGAGAGAAGAGAGAGAAAATAGCGGAGGAGATAAGAGAGAGGAGCGGGAAGAAAGGAAAAAAAGAGAGAGGAGAGAGAAGAGAGAGAGAGGAAAAAAGAGCGCGTGCGCGAGAGAGAGTTTCTAATTTTTTCTCTTTTCGTCCCTCTCTCGCTGTCGCCTCGTCGCCTCTTCTCTGCCCCCTCTCTATATATCCTTCCCGCATTTCACCGCCAGTCTGTCAGTCTGTCAGTGAAGCTAAACCCCACAGGAAATGAGATCCACGTCCATAGCTGGGTTCGCTCTTATTTATTCACGCTCTGGACGTGGCTATTTTTTCCAGACCCAGGAGTGAATCCAGGGAGATATCCCATCATGGTGTTTATTCACGGAGAGTCGTACGAATGGAACTCTGGGAATCCGTACGACGGAAGTGTCCTGGCGAGCGTCGGCAAGGTCATCGTCATCACCATCAACTTCCGGTTAGGAATTCTTGGTGAGTATATCGTCGATTCGTTCGAGGTTAAAAACACAATTTATTTAACTAAATAATATTTTTTTTTGTAATAAAATTATAAATTTAAGTTAATTTTATAATATTTTTTTTTTAAATATTTAATTTTTAATAAATATTTATATTAAAATTCCGGTTTACAGCGGAGTGTTGAGCGAGATATGCTTTGTGAGAGCAGAAGAGGCAGCGAAGACTAGATAGTAGATAGATAGTAGATAAGCATAGATGAGATAGATAGAAAGATAGATAGATAGATAGATAGATAGATAGAGAGAATAGAATAGATAGATGATAGCATAGATACGATAGATGGAGAATAGAGAGAGGAGAGAGAGAGAGAGAGGAGAGAGAGAGAGAGAGAGAGGAGAAGAGAGGATGGAGAAAGATAGATAGATAGAAGGAGGAGAGAGACAGAAGAAAGAGGAGGCAGAGAGAAGAGAGAGACAAGAGGAGACGAGGATTGATAGAGACAATGAGCGAAAGAGGAAAGACCAGAGAGCGAGCTGAGAAGATATAGAGCAAAGGAAAGAGAAGAAAGAAAAGAGAGCAGGAGGAAGAGAGATAACGACCGACGCGATAGATAGATGAGAGACAAGATGTAGAAAGTAGAGATAGAGAGAGCGACGCGAAAGAATATAGCGAGAGCGAGAGAGATTTGGCAGAGAGCCGGAGCGGAGAGAGATATAGGAAGAGCCGAGAGCGATATATAAGAGGCGAGAGTGATATAGCGCAAGGAGAGAGAGAAAGAGAGCGCGCGAGAGAGAGAGAGCGAGAAAGAAAGAGAGAGACAGAACGCGTGCACAAAAACCTAACTCATGAAAGAAATCCCATTTTAGCAATCCGTCGTCGTCTCCCATATTGCACCGATCAGACTCTCCGACCGACTTACAACATACGTAGCAATACGACACTGCTCTCCAGCTGATAATGAATTTTATACCCCAACATAAAACCTAAAATCCCTTTTCAATTTAAGACATCTTCCCGTCGGACACCGAACACGGCGCCATCTTGCTTGTTAGCGCTTGTCGGCGGTTGAATATCGCGGCCTCCGTCAGTGTTAGTCACAACATCCTCCGTCAGTGCTCCATCTTCCGAAATCCCGCACAACGCTATATATAGCTGAAGGGGTCTCGGGGATTCTGATGGACACGAGATAGAGTTAATGCTTTGAGAGGAGCTTGTCGCTATTGCTGTTGATCTCTCGTCCGTGCGCGCGAGGTCGCGGCCTAATTTCAAATCTAAAACGACCGGTGGATGCATTCCGAGTGGGTGGGTGAGGGTGATGGTAAGAAAAAGAAGGGGGAAATGGAGGGTGAAATATAGGCGTTACGCTAGGCGTTATGCACAGAGAAGCAATAGTAGGCAGAGAGAGTAGAAGTAGAAGGAATAGAAGAAGGGAGAGGGAGTAAAAGAAGGGAGGAGTAGTAGAAGGGAGTAGGAGTAAAAGAGGGGAGGAGTAGTAGAAGGAAAAAAGAGTAAAAGAAGGGAGGAGTAGTAGATGGAAAAAGGGAGAAGTAAAAGAAGGGAGGAGTGGAACGGAGAAGGAGTAAAAAAATGAAGGAGTAGTAGAAGGGAGAAGGAGTATAAAAAGGGAGGAGTAGTAGAAGGGAGAAAGAGTAAAAGATGGGAGGAGTAGTAGAAGAAAGAAGAGAGGAGTAAAAGAAGGGAGGAGTGGAAGAACGGAGAAGGAGTAAAAGAAGGAAGGAGTAGTAGAAGGGAGAAGGAGTAAATGAAGGGAGGAATAGTAGAAGGGAGAAGGAGTAAAAGATGGGAGGAGTAGTAGAAGAAAGAAGGGAGGAGTAAAAGAAGGGAGGAGTGGAAGAACGGAGAAGGAGTAAAAGAAGGAAGGAGTAGTAGAAGGGAGAAGGAGTAAAAGAAGGAAGGAGTAGTAGAAGGAGGGAGAAGGAGGAGAAGGAGGAGAAGGAGGAGAAGGAGGAGAAGGAGGAGAAGGAGAAGGTATAGAAGGAGGCGAATGCATTAGTGGCGGGCGACTTACCACGTCTCGCTTTCTCAATCCGACAGATGGCGCTACCGGCGTCCACCCTTGGGCAATCATTTGGTTCCGGCAATCACGTGATCGCGAGCGCCGACTTTTCTCAACTAGCTCTTCTGTAAATGCGTTCCTGCGTGCGCAGATAACACGTCGACAGCCCTGTTTTT